CTTGCAGTAAGTAGACTGGTTTCAATTCCACAGATAAACTACATGACACTTTTACAGCAATACCTTATTCTGAAATCATAAGATTTCAAAAGAAAAATAATTTACCATATTTTTTTGAATTTGAATATCCCACAGTGATAATATTATATATATATGTATTATTTGTTGAAACCATTTGATCTATATGAATGTAGCGACTGGCATTTGATGCTCATATATCAAAACGATCTTGTGCAATTAACGCATGATGTATACATATAGTGACGACGATGAGATAACAAGTGTTGATAAGAATGCCATGATGTAGTCGCTTCCCTCTCCCTGTACTGATATATCATATAGCTTCTTCGTTCATTCATTCAAATCGGCCATTTATTTTATTTATACCTGGTGTCATGTTGTTGAACTAAACAATCTTTCTCGTTCTTTTTTTTTTTTCCTGCTCTTTATGATTTGTGATATTTTCAAATTAATTAAAAATAATTGTTTTAATTTTTTTTTTTAATTATCCTAAGCTTAATTATTTATTTTTCTTTGAATGATTAAAATTGAAATATAAATTTAAAAAAATCGATTAATAATCTTAATTTATCATATTTTTTTAAAAGAAAGTGTAATTAGTTAAGATTACAATGTTTAAATTTTTTTTGCTGCAATCATTTTGATTGTTTTAACGTTTGTAATTCATTTAAATACATAACTATAATGTGATGAAATGTTTGAGCTATAATGGAAATAGATGAAAAAGATAAGGAAACACTTAATGATCAATCGTATTGTTCTCATCAACAACAAATAAATGAAGAGAAAGATGAGGTCACGCAAGGGGAAAAGCAACCTGTTGATAAGATGATTCTTCTACATCAGGCATTATCACAAGCTAGCGTTACACGAGCTAAACGTTGCAAACAGGTACTATCATACCAGTTTTTTTTCTTTTGTTTATCATATCATTTATTAATTAACACAAGTTTTGGTTTATAGATTCTTAGTTGAAAACAATGATGTTATTGGTTCCCAATAATATTTGTGCATGATATTTAAATATCATTGCTTTTAATCTTTTAATAGTTGCTTAGCATAAACAAGAAAATTTAAAACATATATAATTAAATTATCAAATTATTTTTATGACTACTGTTGCATTTCTTATATTTCAATTCTATTTTTGGGTGTATTCTATAACATTTACGACATGTAAATTATCTCGTGCTGTTACTATTACATTACTGCTTTTTTAACAGTTTAACAATCTTAACTAAAAAACTTTGGTAAATTTACAAATGGTAAAATTTGCAAAAATTCCTTCAAATTCCACCCATCATAATTTCTTCCCTAATTTCAAATCATATATATATATATATGAAAAATTGCCAAGTCAGAGTGATATAATATCAAAGGAATAAAATTTCAAAGTGATATAAATGTAAAATGGTGATTATCTCGTCTAATGAAGTGATCATTTTTCATCAAATGAATATCACTTGTTTCGTATCAATTATTGATAATTTTGTTTAATTTTAAATAGGAATTATTTCGAGAGAAATAATTTGGTGATATAATTAAGCAAGCGTATTTTAATGTATCCGTCTTGAGCACCTGATCTTCTGGATAGGAGCCAGTTTTATAAGCTGTGGTTGTTTAGCAATTTACTACATCATGAAGAGAGTGGAGGAAGAAACGTCATAGCATCGTTAGTAGTTGTATACTTCATTCTACTCTCCCCCGCCCCTCCTCACCTTTTTCATTTCTTCCACTTCTGATCAGCAAACACCCACTTCATACTATTTCCATCTTAACCCATCCTCACTCCCATTAAAACCTCTATTGGCGGCACACTTTCATATCTTAAAATTGTTATGTGAAATGAGTGGAACAACTCCCAAATATGTAATTATCAAGAAGATTCTTTCATTTCAAACTTCTTCAGCTTTTTCAATCTTCTAAAGTAAATTTCGGGAATTCTCAGAATTATTCCAACCTATTAGTATTGTTTGTTATCATTTAACATGAATTCTATCATTGATAGTTTTGATTATTATTTATTAATCCATTATGTGTGTTGAATATTGTGAAATTTTATTTTAGATAACTATAATAATTGTTTAAAATGTTCAATGCTGGCAGGATCTTTTTCTTTTGTACTAATTTATTGCTTTTTAAAAATTTATAAAGGATCTCTTCCGATCAAATATTTTCATAATTAAAAAGAAACGAAAATATAATTATATATGCATAAAGAAGGAACTTGATGATCCTCTTGAAATGATTAACCCATCTATAATTATCATCTAATACTGTCGACTTAGACGTATTATAATGTCTTTTCTTATCTTAGAGTTGAAGATATTATAATACGACATAGACTCTTTACGACATAGTTCTCAAAAATGTTTAAGTATAAAAGAATTAAAATTGCATGACTTTTTTTAAAATATGTTTAATGTCAATGAATAGTTAAGTGTTTATCAGAAGTTATTAAAATTTATTGGTAAATTTATTAATGATGATAATTAGGACAAAAATCGCTTAATAAATTGATCTAATGGCTGAATAATTTCTAATGTTCCGTACAACCTCCTTTTTTCCTTCATTTCTCTCTGATCTCTCTTCTCTCACTCCCTCTCTCTCTCTCTCTCTCTCTCTCTCTCTCTCTCTCTTTCCCAGTTTTTAACATTATTATGGTGATGTTATCATAAAAAGTTTATGCTAAACTGGTTTTCAACAAATCTACAATTTATTCGATATAAGAGATTATGAATCGTGCTATATTATAAGTGATATGTTAAATAAGGAAAATAACGTGAAGACATGAAATATAAGAGAGATGGGAAAAGGAAAAATGGAATTTTTGAAGTTTTAAAATTTTAATTTCAAAATTTTATCACTTTACTGTCAATAATAATGATTGAAATAGGTTGATTAAGAAAATTAATTCAATAATTTCCAGTTATTTCAGCAACGATTAGCACTGTCTGAAATGAAGAAATGTGATAAAAACAACCAATTGTAAGTCGAAAATTACATTTTTCAGTTCGTCTGATTTAAATTTATTGCTTAAAATTAAAAATACAATCACAAAAGTAGGAATGAAAAGAAAGAAATTTGTCATAATTTGAAAAATGTTTAAATTTAATCTTTTAACCGAAATTTTTTATTATATAAAAAATGATTATTTGACGTCAACTAGAAACTTATCACTTATTATTAAAAGATTTTCTGTTAGTTTTCTAATTTTAAGTTTAAATTTCTATGAAATCAAGGTAATTAATGAGTAGAAGAAATTAGTCATAAAAAAATATGTGATCTGTAGAAAAAGGAGCAAGATATTTTTTCTATACGATAATTCATTTATTAGAACTCGGATTACTTATAGTTAGTTATAAGATATACGTGTCATGTTTTTTTTTAAATAGTTTTAACATAAATTTATTAATATCTTTAATTATGATACATAATAACTTGGGATATGTTGAATTAGAGTTTAGCAATATGATCGAAAATTTCCAATAATCTTCCATTAATGTGATTCTTACGAATAAATCATCGATTAATTTTTAAATCTAAAGAATAATTACCTTTTGTCTTTTAGAGTTCAAACAATTTCTTCCTTGATGCTCTTAAATGTAGAAACAAAAAATGATTAATCGATGGCCTGTTTTGTAGCATTGTATATTGTCATATATTATTCATATTTCTTGTCCATTTTCATTTACAGGTCAAGTAATCTATCGGAAGAAACACTTCATGAAACTAGTGAATTCGTCGAGGCGTGTTCATCGGCAATCAAAAATCACAAATTATTTCCCATTGTTGAAGTTGGCTTTTTTTAGATTTCAAATTATTTGAAATTTTTGAACAACAATAATAATAATAATAAATAATGGTAAATAAGTGAAATATTAATGAGTTGCATTGTATTCTTCTGATTACTTCAGCTAATGTCAAAAAAATGTGAAGCAGCGACCCAAAATTTCTCAGAAGCATCATTCATGATGGATGACGTTTTTCAGGTAGTTTAATTCCTTGTTGAAAATTGTCAACATTCAAATGGATTTACTAATAATTCAAGCTAATCTAGCACAGATAGCGGTTAAAGATTAAAAAGCAATAGGTTAAAAATATAACGTCTTCCATTGTAGTAGTAGGATCACATGCTACATTGGTTATATTGAACTAGTTTATAATAATGACCTTAACAATTTGTTTATATTTATCGCGATCATTTCTTTGGCTTGTATCACATGTTTTATCCATTTGTTAGTTTTTTTAGTTTAAATTAGAAAAAAACTAAAAGCAACCATTTTGGTTGAATGTAAAATATGTAAAATTATGTCATATGTTTTAAAATTTTGTAGCAACTGGCGGAAATGATGTCGAATGGTGATGGATCATTGGGAAATAGTGAACTTGATGTATTTTTAATCAACTCTATAATTATGCTTCGTTTACACTTGCTAGAATTGGAAAAAGTTGCTGAATTATGCGATGATTTCAAAACAAAATATTTGCGTACGTTAACAATTATTTGAATATAACCACATTAAGATAATATTTGTTTAGGAATAGCAGTAGTAAGTTGTTTGACAATAAAATATTAAACTGCTGATTGTTTAATAATAAATAAATTAAATTATTGGTTATCAACGATGCTGGAATTGTTCAATACCATTCGGTTACTAGTTTTCTTCAATTTTTAGTAGCGTAGTTAAAACTATTGAAAAATTGTGTGATTGATTTCAAGAAATTCTAATAATTTCGCATTAGTGTTCTTCACTTTAAATTTATGAAACTCTTCAGTTCAAATTATATATGTATTTTGAAGAAGAATGTATTTGTCTCACTCTTGTCATAATCATCTATTTCAGAAACGCTGAGGAAGAAAATAACTCAGGAATCCATGATTGGATATAATGGTGATAGCGATGATGACTTATGCAATTCATCTCCAGAACTATCAGAACAGGTAAACAATACTGTTATAAATTTGAACATAACTAATTTTTTCCAAGAAGAATGTTAAATTTAATTTACAGAAATCTTCAAAATGATATCAATAGTTTTGTGATTGGGAAATGATCAAGTTATAAGACTAGTTTTAGATATTTCATAGTAAAAATTTACATGTATTTGTTCAAGTTTATCAGTTTATCATCAACCAAGTATGTGATTTCAGTCGAAAAATCGAGCAGGACAGCAAACGATTGCAATGATGTCTACATCGAAAGGAATGGTAGATATTTGAAAAATTTTTATCTTTTTAAAGTTTCCTTTTTTTCATTATTAAAGTTAGAACAAATCTGAACTGCTCACTTTTTTCAGCTTTCCATACCTCTTTGGAATGCGATATCTTCACATTCATCATCAGTGCATAGTTCGTTATCACATCAAAAAATTTCAGAATGTTGTTCATCTTCCGGCACTCAAATTGCAGAGGTTTAATTCACATATTAATTTTCATCTGGACTGATTGAAATTATTGAAATTTTTCGATAGTTCTGAATTTTTCTTATTATTTCTTTTACTTCTTTTAAAGAAAAGTGATGTGCAAGAACCAATTGAAGAAGATAACTCAGATTCGAAACGGAAAACTCAATTGCCAACTAAAGCTGTCGAACTACTTAAAACTTGGCTCTTTTTGCATTCTTCCGTAAGAATTCTCTTTTTTAGACAAAATAGTGTGGAGTGAAAACAGACAAGAAAAAACTAGTGAACTAATTAGTTGCTTTATCTTAATAAACCAGTAATGTATGATATATGATGATTAATTGATGTTCACCAGATAATTCCAATGCAAATTTTGCAATCCTGAAAGGAAACATTGGATATATTGACTCATTTTTTTAGCATCCTTATCCGAGTGAAAAAGAAAAAGCGATGCTATCACGAGAAACCGGCTTACAAATGGTTCAAATCAACAACTGGTAAATTTCGAAGCAGAATGTTCGTTTCATAAAATGCACAATCTAATTCAAATCCTTAAGAGCATATAAATCACTTTTCTGTCCTTAAGGATTTTTCGTGTTGGTTTTACGTGTTTTTTAGTAAATGAAAATGTAAAAGCATAGATATTACTTACAGGTTTATCAATGCTCGTCGCAGGATATTAGTACAATCGAAAGAAAGCCGTGATGTGGATTTCATTCAAGAACCAAATTCTAACACTGATTGCACACTCATTCCAAAGAGGATACGTAGGTAATTGTTATTTTTTATAAATTTTCAAAAGAATTTTGTAATTTTCAAAACCTTTAGTCTTAAACTTGTTGTTACGGCTTAATAATTATTTGACTTTTATTTGTTTTAAAGTTGAAAATAAGATAATATCAGTAGTAATCAATATTCTTGACATATGTCCCTCCATATTCTATTTCTCTTTTCTCTTTCTCCTTCTCTAAGTTTAATTAAAAGTGTCTTTAAAATAAACAGAATGAGTGTTTTCAGTTATTTCGCAAAAAATATAGATCATATCAAATTAATTACCATTACATTTTCTGAGGGGCAAAAATGCATACGGTTCTGAGTTCATGAATAGTTTATTTTATTCCATTGTAATTGAACTGCTTAATTCTGAAGGTATCACCCTTCATTTTATTAAACGTAAATGTAATTTTTCAGAATGTAGCAGTCATGAAATTCTGGATGAAATTTGAAAAATGGAGAATCCTCTAAATAATGTGATTCGTATATTTCAGATTTAAATCTCGTTCTTTGTAAGCTTGTTGCAATATGTATAACTATGGTACTAGTATTGACATTTTTTAGTCAATCCATTATAGGAATGATTTATCAGTTGATTTTTACATCATTGAGTGTGGATCTTATTGTTAGCAAAATTCGGAACAGTTCCAACAGATCTCTAAGGATAAAAAATCAAATTACTGATTCATTTTTAATTACATCTTCTTTTGAACGATTATGGAAGGCTTCCGTTTGAAAAAAGTTTATTATCATAAGAATCATATTAATTAAGTTTCTTTGATTTCTATGTTTTTCTTCCTTTTTTACTAACCATTCTGACAATTTCGTTTTCTATTTCAAGTCATTAGTTCTTGGGAATGAATGAAAATTAACAAATTCTTATGTACAGTTTTATTAAATACTACAATTGAATGAATACTTGTAATATCAAACAATATGTAAACATCGCTGCTGAGAGGACTAAAGTGAAATTCTTTTTATATCTAACAGCTTCTTAGGATAAATTTAACCATATACATAGTTTATTTTCAACTATATTTTCAGTTCCATTTTTCCAGCATTGCACTCATCTTCTAATTACTACCATCCGATTTATCTCCGTGGAACAAAGAGGTGATACTTTTTTGATATCCTAAAAATGTGTTTTTATTGACTGGGTTGTGCTTATCACCTCAAACCGCGTCACTTCAGCATTAAAATAAAATGTGATTTACTCAACAACAAAAACGAAAGAATTTTTTGCAAAGAGGAAAAATTAAGTCGACAACTATTGAAGTGTATGAAATCAAATTATTGGTGATTAGTAGAGCGGAGTTTGTGAAAAGTAAATCATTGGGTCGGTAATAATGGTGTGCTACTCAAATCCATATAATTTTCATTGCTTGACGAATTCTGACCACTTTTCGAAAAATAATTTTAGCTGTTCAATTGAACCTAACTGAAATAAATTTCGTAAGTCATTCCAACATTTATAAATTGTTATTCAATTTGATCACAATCGAACACCATCTATCTTCGTATGAAATGCAAATGAAAAATTAAAAAAAGAAATCTTAGATTAATCTGGAATACCATTTTATATTGCCTTATTCCTCCTATTATCGTTTCTTGAAGTGGTGCTCAACTAATAATAATTGATGAATTGTTTTTACCTTTTTTGCTTCCGACATGAATGTTGTTGTATCGTCTTCATTATTAGACATTTCTGCTGTATTTATTTTAATATCAGATGTTTCCCGTCGTTTCAACATTTTATCATCATCTATCGCAACTGCAAGAAAATGTAAATGAAGTAGGAAATCAACAGAATTAATTGGAATAATCCATATTTTTATATTTTTTACTTTTGAAAACAAAATTATATCTATAAGTTTTTTTAATTAATTCTTATTTTGAAAAAGCTAACTTCTCTTTGCATAATTAATTGACGCTGTTTTTTTGAACTTATTATGTTTGAATTTTTGGTTAGGTTCAAAATGTTGCCTTCTTTGTGAAACCGATACATAACCCATAATAATATCATCTTGTAGTTCCGATATTGACTGCTGATTTTCAATGTTTCTTTTCTCATTCTCTTCCATTTTATTTTTCTAAATTTAATATATTTATTAGTTTTAATTGTGATTTTTTTTCATCTTTGATCAATTAAAATGTGATAGAAAAATGAGAACATTACATACTTTATGTTTGATTGTATTGGGCAATGTGGGATGTATTCTCGAATCGAGTTGAAAATTATTTCAATAATTAAAATATTGTAATTTTACTGTATCTTCTATTCAATCAATGGTTGTCAATAAATATTGGGAGTTAATTTATGTCAACAAAATATTCAATTTAATTATTGAACTTTTATCAATCATGAAAATGATGAGAGAAGTACAAATTTCGAGTAACACAAAAAGTTTAAATCATTCCTTAATGTTGTGCAAAGACTTTTTCGCAAAACAATTTAAGGTGAAGAATTGATGCTAGAAAGATGTAAAAAAGTTATGAAGTTAAAATTACATTTGATTTGTGATAAGTTCGCAAATTTCAATTTACAATAACAGAAAAAGGTTATTAAATTATTAAACTAAAATTAAAATTAAATTGCTAAATTAAAACTATTAAATCAAAATTAATTAAATTAAAAGAAATTATTAAAAAAAAATCATTTGTAAACCTTTTCCACGGTTGAAAGATTGTGTTTTAGAAATATTTTCGGTCCATTTAATCCATCATCTTTTGTCCATAATTTCGCATACTGACGAACATTTCTAACTATGCGAATTGAATTGAACTTTTCATTTGCTGAAAAGTTAAATTTAATTGATATTGTTTAAAATAACTTGAAAGATATTATTATCAATTAGCTATTTTGTGATAAAGAATGGTAAGAAATGCATTTTTTTCATCAGAATTAATTTTTTGTGGGTAGTTGTTGGTCATACCTGTTGTTATCTATAAATCATATTAAGCCTTGACTTTTAACCCTTAGCTTATACGTTGTTTACATTTTTCTCTAAGACACTTTCAACTGTTATGATTTTTCTAGTTTTGATCTTAAACTTTATGGAAGCATAAAAGTTGTAGTAAGCACTTACGATATTTGGTAACCTGATAACCATTTCCATCAATTATTCAAATATTAATTAATATTTTTTTTGTGGGAAATAATGCTACCTTATCTTCTATCTTGGAACGACAATGTATAATGATTACATTTGCGGTCAGATACCAAATGATCGAAGAATTTTTGATGAAATATATTTAAGTTTAATTTTGTCAATTTTATTTTATTTAAATATCACACCTTTCATCTACTAATAGTAATTTTATAATATCCATTGTATTCATATTAAATGGGAATCTTTGTGTGTGTTTTTATTTTGGCTGGCTTCTTCAATTTCTATGAATTTTATTTATGAAATTTATCTTACAATTTTTTTCAAATCTTATTTACAAATTATTGATTCTAATTATTCGATAGTGTATTTTCAGTAAATCTTAATCAATTATTTTTATTTACATAAACTATGTGTCTGTTTGTTTTAGGATTGTAATGTTCTATTAAATTTGAAATATTTTGCAGTAATTTTAAGAATTTAAGTATGATTTCAAAAAAATTACTAATTAGGATGATTTAATGAGTTAATTTTAAAATTAATTGCTTCGAAGCTTATCTTATCTTCTAATCATTGATATCTTAACCAACGAATAATCTATTTAACATTGATATCATACTCATTTCTCGGAATGATAATGCATAATTATATTTACACTTTTTTTCATCTATTTGCAACCATTAAAATAATTTTAAAAAAAATATTTCTAAAGCTTACATTAAAAAATAATTCGGAAGTTTTGCAAAAAATACTAGCTATTTGTATAATTTGAAATTCTTTTGTTCCTTTTCATTAATTAGCTTTTCCTTAGCAAACTGAAACTTTGAATTCAATTTTTCTCATTTTCAATAAACTTCTTGACCAATGTTTATTATCAAATCTTCGTTCTTTCTCACATTTCTTTTTCTTTGTAAATTAATATTTATTCAATTTTAATGCAATGAAAGCTGAAATCAGGTGAAATATAAAACATTAAGTGAAGAATTAATAAAGTTCTGTTAACATTGACCTACTCACCTCATTTCTCTTTTTGCTACAATAAAAGTTAATTATTGTAAAATTTTAAATGAATGCTTATTTGTTTTTCATCGCTAAACCTATTCGATGAAAATTTAAACAACGATACATCTGACGAAATTTTATCAAATTAAATGAAAAAATTTCATCTTAGCAATAATTTTTTTTACTTTGAAAAACTGTTTGATATATTTGAGTGATTTGTAAAAAAAATGCCTCAATTTTCTGATTTAATTATTTAATTGCTTAAATAATTAATTATAAATTCGTTTACAATATTGATAGAAAATTTTAAATTAATGATCATATTTTCTAAATCGTTTTAAATTTAATCAGAAATTTACTTGATAATAAATCTGGATGATAATTTTCTTCATCTCGTATCATATTATTGAATTGTTCTTTCGTTTGATTTCCCTGATCTTTTTCGAATTTCTTCTTAAATATTTTATTCGATGCTTCGATGAATTCCAATTCTTGCTTTATCAAGCGATTGCTTTCATTAAATGTCTAAATTTGCAAAGTTTTTAAAAACCAAAGGTAACCGAAGAAATGTTTAAATTAAAGTAATATAGCCTGATAATATGAATCCTCTTTGGATGACAAAATGTTTTAATTGTATAATCTTTTGTTAAGATGATTAATGAAATTACTAAAAGGGCTCTCAAGCAATAGAGATAATTTCATTAAGATGTCATAATTATCTTTCATTTAACTTGAATTGTGCTATTTTTGAATGTATTACTTTTACTTTCCTATAAACTTTGGGAATGTTTATAATTGGAAAAATTAGAAAAGAAAAATTTAAACTATTTTTTGAAAAAAAAAATCCATTCAGAAAATATTAGAATTATTTGATTGATAATATCATAGCATT